TATATTGTCATCATAAAAGTGTGGTATTCTTTGATTGCGAACTGCTCTGAAACCACGAGGGGTCGGCAACCTTTTGGGCATGAAGTGCCATTGTCAATCAAGCTGTATTTATACAGTACATAATCATTTTTAAATGTTCAGATAAAATAAATATTTCTGGAACATATATCTTAAATATTTCTGGAACATTTTTCATAAATTGTTCTTTAAAATTTTCAAAATCTTAAAAGTTTGTTTATTTTAATGTGAACACGACTGTATGTGTGTGTGAATGTTGTTCACACAACACCGTTATTGTGATTCGTGTGTGGAATGTTAAGAACCGACTGTAAACTGACTTAAAAATAACCAGCATTTATAGCAGCAATTTATTAATTGTTAACAGCAACAAATGCAGAATAAACTGTAAGCTGTAGAACATGCAACAATGCAGCGTTCAGAATTTAAACTTGCAGCACTCATATTTAGTTAATAAAATCCCAGCCTTTTGAAGTTTAATAATCACATTAGACTGTATCGTGTATCTGCATTTTCGCCCCTAAATTTAAGTCCTCTCAAAATGATAATTAAGATGTTTGATATACAATTGAACATATTTAGGACATTTTAAGGACCTGCAGGGATGTGTTTTATTTGCTCATGTGCTCCTAAATGCATTTTACAATTCGCCCACATCTATTAGAGCTATTTGACTTTGGTGAGAAAATAAGCTTAATATACAACAATTTTTTGATGAAAATGAAAGATGATGATGATTTCAAACCTCTGAGCTGGGACTCTTAAGCCAGAGCAGTTTGGCCAGGTCATCTCCTGCTGTATTGTTCACTGCATGCTCAAACACCTCTACCTTCTCCATGAGAGTCAAGTGATCATAGTCAGGTGCCATCTACCATAAATGACACAGTTTTAGCCAACACTTAATTGAATGGGTTATTTAGGAGATCAATTTTACTTCATTTCTTCACGTCCTCCCACACCATCCACAGTTAGTTTTGTTGTGCCCATGACATAATTAACTTGTGGGCTATGATGTGACCAAGAGGTAATGACATTCTTATGTCTTGGCCATGAGATCCTATGTTAAGGGCAAATTCACATACATTCTTTTCATGTGGCAATCTAGGATAATCAAAATGAAGACATCAGCATTAAGACACTGCTAATATTATTATGTTATATTATATGAGATGCATAGATATCTCAAAAAGGTATGACAAAGGCTACTTGTTTGGACAAAACATTCGTGATAATAAATCTTGCTTAAGAGAGTGTGCAGTTATCATTTTTCTTCATTACGTTTACTCAATTAACTTGCACCTCAAAAAGGTGTGTGTTTGTTTTACTGTTCTATTAAAAAAAACATTTTTATTCATCTCATCCCGAAGTCTTTTAAACACATTCACTGATACATTAAATGAAAGGGAAAACAAATATATAATAAATATGATATATACAAATATTAAACAACAATAACAAAAATGATCACTGAACAAAAATGCTCATATATATACTGTATATATATATACAGTGGGTACGGAAAGTATTCAGACACCCTTAAATTTTTCACTCTTTGTTATATTGCAGCCATTTGCTAACAGGTTGCTATGGTCACGCAGGTTTGTTTACACATTAAACTTGTGGGCAAGAGAAAAGGATGTCATTACTTTAACACAATGATCTCACAGCCATGACATAATCACATTTTTGCAAATTAATATTTTGTGGAGTTCACTGATGGCGCTTTTCCACTGCATGGTATGGCACGGCTCGCTTTTGGGGGGTTTTCCACAGTGTACGGTACCTGGTACTTTTTTCAATACCACCTCGGCTGAGGCTCCAAGCGAGCCGTACCGTTACCAAAATGTGACGTGTAAACCCTGCTGATCAGTGATTGGCCGGAGAGAATCGTCACTACCTGCGTCATTGAACTTGCGACATGAGACACTAGACCCGCTAGATTAGATCCACATGCTGAGAATGAAGAACACCATTCCATCGATATGCTCCACTGTTGTGTGTTTGTTTGTGTCGCATTTACGATGATGTCACGGCATTAGAGGCGGCGCAACTATAACGACATGTCTATAATCCCGCCCACTCTTAAGCGGTACTAAACTGCAGTGGAAACGCAAACCGAGCCGTACCATGCAGGGGAAAAGCGCCATGATTTAATATGACCTGGTCACAACAAAAGTAAGCATAACAAACATGTCCCTTCCCAGGCAATGTATTTTTTTAAAAAAAGACATTAAAAACTTTAGACAAACTATGTATATTTTATTTATATATAAAACTATTATAAACAAATGACAAACATTTTATTTCTTTCTAAGTAAAAATGTTCAGTTTTGAGTTTGACTAATGGCAAACAGGAAGCTGTATTTGGCAGGTTTGAGACATGTTACCCTAAGCATGATGCGATGTTCAATGTTGAGTAGGATCTTCTTCTTCTCTCGGTAGTCTCGAATCAGTGCGTGCAGCGTGTCACAGTGAGGAACCCAGCCGATCAGACCAGAGTTGGTGGAGAGTGGGATCACAGCATAGCGCTGAATACTGTTCAAAGACATATTCAGTAGAGGAAACCAATTCAAAACATGAGCCACAAAAATTTTAGCATCATAACCTACCAATAGAACTGGGAAATATTTTGAATCAGTTTTGAATAAGTAGTGCAGTTAGACTAGTCTCATGCCTAGTGAGTATGAGAGCATTGTATATCATCATCCACAAATATTAGATCCCTTGGTAAATAATGGGCCATAAAATTTTGTATTTTTAGCTATAAAAAATAAAAATCTTGAAAATTCTAGAACAAATGAATGTGAAATAATTTAAATATATTTTCCCTAAAATGTGTGCCTAGAAATTCTTATGAGTGAAAATCTAACTGAAGTATCTTTTGATTCACATGGTATGTTTTTAAGTTCTCCTGAGTGATCAAAAACCTAATCTTAAATTTAAACTTCACCTAAAATGCTAAAAACTATGATTCCCTTTCGAAAGGGAACTCCACGCTGCGTCCTCTAGAGGGCGCTAGGGGAACGCCTTCAGCGTGACCGGTGTCTGAAGCATGAATGAAAAAACGACAATGAACTTGACATTGGCAGGCGGCAGCCTATGACGTAAACAATAAAGCGAATGCGGGTATAAAAGAGCACCTGCGGAAAACGTCATCCTCTTCTTTGTCTTCAAGCCTTGTGTACGGAAGCACATGCGTTTGACTCACGAGGGATAAGGATGCGCTCACTGTTTGCATTCGCGGAACTACTAGAGCAGAGGTCTGTACTCGAGTTTTTGTCAGCGTTTGCACGAGCGCGTTCGCCTCGCGAGGGAGTTGAACAAGCTTAATGCAATGCATTCGCGGCGGTTTCTGTTCTTGCCTGATTCTTGAGAGAATTTAGTGTTTGAACAGAGTGTGTTTGGCTCTCGAAGGACATATAGCCATGCTGCGAGATGTGATCGCATTCAGAATGCCTTGTATGCTTGAATAGAGGTTGTGGCTCGGGTCCTGGCAAAAGCGATTTGGTTGGGGCAGGGATGGTGTTCCTTGAGTCCTTGACTTAAGGAATCCAGTTTTAGGACGCAGCGTCTCGTTCCCTGTTCTCAGGGAACCATGGTTACATGTGTAACCTGAGACGTTTTCTGTTTTACTGGGTTTAAATATGAGGCCAGATTCCTGTAGTCATCACTATGAGAAAGTCCTGAGAACAGAATAATTACTCTATGTGAGACAACAGGTTGAGCTGCACAAATGAAGAGATGGCTACAAGAAATTAGCTCAATCTTTTACATTTACATTTAGTCATTTAGCAGACGCGACTTACAAATGAGGACAATAGAAGCAATCAAAACTAACAAAAGAGCAACAATAGAAGCATCAGCAAAGTTTCTAAATGTCAGATCAGTTCTAGATTCCTTGCCATATGTTGCTCAACCTTTTTAGAGGAGAAGATTCAGAGCTTGTGATGTTTCTCATTTGTAGGTTGCTTCGGATAAAACCTTCTGCTAAATGAATAAATGTAACAAGTATGTTGTATGAGGGAGTGCCAGAAACTTAAGTTTTTAAAAATATTTGACATTAATAGTTAGATTTTTGTGAATATTTTAAAATACCAAAAGCACGAACATCAAAAACATTTATACATTATTATACACATTTGTTTTGCTCATATTCATATCATATTTTTGCTCAAGGTGGAAATATTTGAGGAGGCCACTATAATACCAGCTCTGCTCAGCAGGTAGCACTGTTGCTTCACAGTGAGAAGGTTCTTGGTTTGAGTACTGGCTGAGCAAAGCAGCACCCTGAGAAAACATGCCAGCACAGACAAAAACAGGCAAACTACACATAGATAGGCTTCCTTGCCTATCTGTGTGTAGTTTGCATGTTCCTCTCTGTGTTAGCATATTTTCTCTGGGTGCTCCGGTTTACTCCACCATCCAAACACTTGCAGGTTAGGTGGATTGGATATAATACATTTTTCATAGAAGTGAGTGTGTGACTGTGTCCCAGCACTGAGGTTTCACGAGTTAGTCCTCAGTGGTGGGATGCATCTGGACATCTGGCGTAAACTTCAGGAGCAAAAACGCATTAAAGTTGGTTCAGGTCATTTTTGAGAATCTTTTTAATTTACCCACTTCAGGGAATAGATTCAAAATGTTTATTAAATTCAATGTTCACTGAAGTCCCTGCATGACATTTTTTATGCATTAAAATGTTTTAGTGAAAACATACTCATAAGTTTGCATATTTATTGCAGAATCTGCAAGTTGTTTATCACTTTAACAAATAAAAGGGGTCATAAAAATATTATGTTGCGGGTCCAGCATTTCACATTAAGGAACTTTGCACAATTATTACAACAATTCATTGATGTTCAAGCAGGCAACATACTACATTAAGAAAACTTTTGATGGTCATGATGATCTGTGTAAATAGTTATTTTGTCTTTTGAGAAATATGTAAATAACTTACTGTTGCAAAAGTTATACTTGATAAACAAGTCTAACTCTTGCAACACTTATATAACTCCTGAAGGGCAGTAGAGGTTTACATATGTGCCAGTAATTATAAAATGCAAAATACTGGCCAATATACCAGCCACAGCAATACTGTATATTGGTTAACTACTAATTTGTACTGTATTGTACTTCTTGTGTCAAACATTCTGAATCTATTTAGCATTGATTCCACTCATCAGAAAAACAAAATTATCTTCTTAAGTAATTTTAGAAAAAATACACAAGATATCAATATATTATTTGCTTTAGCTATGTCTTGTTTGACTGATATAATTTGTTTCAAAGAATGACACTTTCTGAGATTTTCTGATGCCTGAAAACAAGAGGCTTGCCTCAGATTCTTGCGCAGGGAGGCTGGGTCATTAGCCAGTAGAGTGTTCACTAAGCCAAAAAGCTGCATGACCCTCTCGTCTTGCCGTAGATCCTCATGACCCTTCAGCAAGAACATGAATTCATGACCGTTGCTACCTGCAGGACGCAGAACAGAACAGAGAAAGCTTTGTCTCACCATACCAACTGTCATACATGCATTCACATTTACAACCAAGATTACAACATGTGTTTGTATGGAAAAAGGACAATAAAATGAAATCTTGCACTCATAAAAACAACCTTTTTTCACAAACTAGAACAGAATTGCCTACACCAGGACCTGCGGACCCCATTCCATGTATCACAAGATGGGGAAAAAACAACAACAACAACAACAAAACATGGTACATCCTCATTTTTTTATCTTTTTGCGATTTTTTTGTGTTTGTCTGTTGTTCATTTTTCATTGCCCCTAGTATTTATGACAGCCTATGCGAAACAGCTCATTTTCACTTGGCTCTTACCCATGATAGTGAGTTTGCGTGGCCGCTGTTTGGAGGTGATGACCTGCAATGAGGGAGCAATAGACTGAATACGTATGATTGGCTGATTGGGGTCATATGTTCCGGGCACGGCCAACTCCAGATCACGACACATAAGTAGTTTAGGTGAGACGTACTGAAGCTCTAGTGAAGTGAGCTGTGGACAAAGAAATATGCATGATGCATAATTTTATGAAACATCACTAAATTATATCCTGACAGAAGTAAGTGGTTATTTTTAAAAGTGCGCACAGTTTCACAGCTGATATTTATATCAACACTGTAAGATATTTATAACAACAAAATATAATCTGGTAATATATGTCAGTCTTCATCCTGAAAATATTCTTTCCATAATTTACCTGCTATGAGTTTAACCCGCCACTCATGTGAGTTTGATTGCTTTTACCATTGTAAAAATGTGCTCATATTCTCTGTTCCCAATCCCAAATGAAAGTGAAATTTAGAATTGTTAAATTTTAAAAACAATATTACAATTTAGGACATCATGATTTATGATATTGCTGCAGGCTGATGTAAGTGATCTAATGACTATTCTGAGCAAGAAACGCTACTGGCAGACCTGTGGCAGCTGTTTGGAGATCCTGCGGAACACGTGGTAGTACAGGTCCCAGGCCTGCGTCAGGTCCTTCACGTTACCTGATCGCATGTACTTTCTGCACCAGTCCTGCGCCTCCATCAGGTCTCGGCCATAAGCCTGAAACCACAGCCACAGTTATAAAAAGGAAAGTTAGCTCAAGTCACCATTATTTATATACCGTTTTATACAAAAGAGATTGTTTCAAAGCAGCTTCACAGGAAAATAACAGAATCAGTAACTTTTCATCAAATATAAGGCAAATCCAAATTCTGCTGTGAAGCAGCTCTAACAAGACAATAGTGTCATTATACAGCTCCAGTCAGTTCAGTACTGATTTAGTTCAGTTCAATAAGTGTCAATGTTGCAAAATTGGTCAATTATGAACAAATCAGATTAAGATCTTTGATAAAGGTGCTTTATAGCTGAGTGTCATTATTCAGCTCAATTTAGCTCAGATTTATCCATATTTGTAGATTAATGTTATTCAATAAAAATTTGCATTCATCTGCTTGAAGATCAGGATACGTCACACCCGCATTAGGTGAGAAGGAAGAGTTGTAATCTGTCTAGTGTCTGAAACATGATTATTTTCAAACAGCTATAAGAATTATGAACGTTCTTCTTGTAAATGCGTTTCGGAAAGTGATGCAGGTTGACACACAAACCAATCATTATCCACTTCTATATTTATTGTGTGCAAAACCATGGATTGCAAAATTTGCCGTTTAAGAAAAACTTTCATAATCATTTGTTCTAAAAATGGCACTGGTGTGGATTTAAAATATCAAGTATTTCTACATTTAATATTAATACCACATTCAACATTCTTGAGGATTACCAAAAAACTTTTAGATCCATTTTACTTCAATGAACAAATTATCATTTAACCTTCATTACTGAAATAAAAAAATAAGGCTTTTAGTAACCAAATCCACTTCACTTCACTAATTACTCTTTAACAGCGATGCTATAGAAATAAACAAAGCTACCACAAAAACGGGAGTGCAAACACCAAATTCTAAAGATGGCCACGCGCTTGTTTCTCCGATGCAAAAGGTCTATACTGGAGATGTTTACAAATCCTGAGTAGCCTATAAAAGACTGATGAGCTGTTTGTCACTTTAGATGTCCCTGACAAGGGCCGGAGTGAGGCCTGTTTTCAGCCCAGGAGTTCAATGCACAAGACCATCCCCTCATTTGTTTTAACAAGAATAAACAGGTAAATGCATAATAAACTTTCACATACAAACATTCTGCAATCACATAGGCACAGCTGAAAAAAACTGCACACACAAATAAAAAAAAAATCAAATAAATTATAATGAAATCCAGGCAGCAAGTATGGGTTATGCTCGTTCTATGAAATATTACATTATTTCAAAAAATCTTGTCTTGATGACTTTTTTTTTATTGCCACAGGTGGGGGCAGAGATTGCGTTAAACATTTTTTGGAGGGTTTAAACATTCTGAAAGTATTTTTCTTTAAAAAAAACACTGATGGATAATTAAAAATGATTTCCTGTGTTTGTCACAATGTGCTCTCTCTGACAAGTGACATGAGAAAATGACCCTTTTAATGCATACCATGTAAAGATGTGGATTAATTAGTTTAGTTACAGTCACGCAATAATGTAACACACATGCTTTTTCTGTGTGTGTGTGTGTGTGTGTGTGTGTGTGTGTGTGAAGTATGGAGAGAAACCAGGGGAGAAATGGGGGATTAATATATGTCATATAATAATATTTATTATATATACACACCTGCCACGAAGAGCTGTGCGATCGCAAGCAGTGGGGTTTTGGATGTGTGCTTGTACACCCTGCTGCTTGCGTGTACTGTACACAGCTCTTCGCTGCTACTAAAAAAAAATACCAGCAATTTGACACTTTCCGTGTGTCTCTCACAGAAAATGAACTAGACACTTGCGCGTTCCGCATTCCGTGTGAAACTGCCTTTATGTCAAAGTAGTACTGCGGGCCCAATTTATGAGCAGCCCACTGGGAAATTTTCCCAATTCTCCTGATGGCCACTCCGGGCCTGACCTCGACCCTTAGAACAGAGCTAATGACAAGAAGCCCAGAGCTAATAACACCTTTGATTGAAACTGTGGTTACTGTATTTTATACGTTAATGGTTTTATTTGCATTTACATTTTTAATTAATATATAAAAATCTAATCAATTAAAAGAAAGGTCAAATTGATTACAAAATTGCCTACTGAGGCTTTTATTTTTTAGTGTTTTAAGACCTTAAGCAAGAACAATACTACAGGCTACAGAATCTTCTGACCAACTTGTATGTAGTTTGAAATGCTTGTAGACCAGAATAATAAAAAAAGCTGTTAAAATTTTTAATTTAGTGCAATGTAACACTGATTAAATATTTTAGGACAATGCATAATAAATAAAAAATATATTAACTATAAAAAATTCCATGATTTATCCATGACTTTGAAGATTTTATTAATTTCAATGACTTTCCTTGGAGATAAGAATTTTACAATTCCCTGATTTTCCATGAACATCTAGTGTTTTTTTTTTCTTTTAATAATAGGCAATGAAAACATATTTTGTGAGAAAATGGAAATGTACAGTGAGTAATTATCACTGAACATTAATGCAAAGTCAAAAAGTCAAAATAATTCTTGGTATATTTTGTTCGTATTCTTAAGAATCATTAAGCAATTAGATGAAAATTGCAGTGAGCTACTATATTTTTCAGGCATTTGGTAAAACAGGCAATCTCTATAGTTCATGTTACATAAGTACATTCTGAATAATCCTAATGAACTACTCTGTATTTACAGTGTGTTCATTTTGTATAGTCACTTTTGGGACATCTTCATTGCTATTATGACATGTAATATGCGTAACATGAACACTGTAAAATGAAATATTACCTGATATGCACACACAATATATATAAGAAGCCATGTGTTATTTCTCTACTCTCTTATGTTTTTTAACATCTTTATTCAGTGTTAACCTTCAATGTACAATGCACTTTCCTGAGAAAACTAAAGAAAAAAATATCAGAAGATCCTCAAAACATTGGGTTACAAACTTACCTGATTGAAGGATGTTTCTTTCAGAGTTTGCGGCCCTCTCTCCATCATGGCATGAAGGGGCTCCAGGACGGCAAACATTCCCTTGACATTCCTCTCTCCAAAGTACAGACGTGACGCCTCCTCCAGCCCCTCGTGCCACATTTCATGCCACAGAATAGCCACCCTGATCAGCTCCTCACTTACCTAAACACAGACAGAAACAGTGATATATATGGGCCATATGTTGCTTCTACTTGGATTCATTTCTCTTTTGGATCATAATTGACCTTGGCTAAACCCTGCCTTAAAAACATCACTTATCAATGCTGCTACTGTACCTTAGTGACTGGTAGCTGTCACTGTCACTGTCACTATGTTATCAGACCAGCTTTTGCTCCTTTCGGGTGTTTTTGTATTTCCATTAAGTCTCATCCTCGGAAGGATCTGTGTGTTTAGTTAAAGGTCATGGGACTGAAATGTTGCTTAAATTTTGACAGTTTTTTGCAAGTTGGAATAGTGTGCAAAACTTTTTTCCTAAAGAAGTTACGGTAACACTTTCTACGAAGCCCATATTTATAATACATTATAAGGGCCCTTTCACACCAAGAACGATAACTATATTAACGTCCACACCAGCGGACGATATCGTCTGTTTATTCTAAGCGCACACTCGTCTGCCACTTTAATTCTCGAGCTCGTTATAGCAGGATTGATTCTGATTGGCTGTCAATGTTTTATCGTTCATCAGCTGGAAAAAAATCATTCTGAAAGTGATTCCAACGATATAGTTTCTCTGTGCCTTTATCGTTATAGCTGTGGTGTGGACTCTGCTATTCTTTAATATTGAGAACTATATCTTTATAGTTACAGTATCGTCCGTGCTGTGAACAGGTCTTAAGAGTATTGCATAACATACTATAAAAAACCTTATATGTTGTATCATCTCATGAGTAATCATAACAACAGTTTTAATACATTATAATATTTACTTATTTGTGGTTATAGCTTTTAAGATTATGATTATTTATAATACACAATGAACACAACTCATCCACATAACTTACAATGGATTATATTTCCCATAATTATAATGTATTATAAGTCTCATATCTTGCCATTGTTAACTTGTTACTTTACTTAAAGCAGACAAAGACCACTTATAAATAACAACAACGACTACAACAACAACAATATAATAAAAATAATATGTCAAGATAAGAGACTTACAATCCATTATAAATTAAGTGGATTTAACATGCTGTTTATTGCGTGTTATAATTAATCATACTCATAAAAGTTAGAACTAGTAATAAGTAAGTTTTATAATGTATTATAATTGTTGTTATGATTATTTATGAGATGAAACAACATATTATAAGTTTGTTATAATGCATTATGCATTCTTTATAATGCCGTAATAATACCCTTATAATGTGTTATAAAAAAATGGGCTTCATAGAAAGTGTTACTGAAGTTACTTTTAAAACAGTAAAACGTTATTACTGGTGCATTTATAATATGTGTGTATGCACACTTGTAGTTCGGTTCTCTTGTTTCTTTTGGTCAGAACCAAAAAAGAAAACATTACATTTAGCTGTTTGTCCTGGGTTTTGTTTAGTGTTTACACTGTCATTTTTAACACCGAACCTGAAGATACAAAACAAAAGGCATAAGGATAAGGTCACAACCGCCAGCTTCTTTGGCGTATAGATTTTATTTTGGAGCTTACCGAACATTCAAAACAATGCTCTGTGCTCGGCTAAATGTGCTCATTGTGTGTGTGTGTGTGTGTACATATGGTGGTATTTTTTACCAGCTGAGAACACAAAGACCTCTTATAAAATGTTTAAAGGAGTCAAAACAGCATCAAACATTCCTCAGCTGTACACACAAATGAAGATCTGCTGCAAGAAGCCTACCTATGGGTATCGACTTTTTTGTTTTTTTACGATACCGGTGCCAAATCGATACTTTTAAAAAAAGAGCCACAAAAAAATGGATAACATTAAAGAACATTAAAAATATTTAAAATAAATATACATAGCATTCACATGCTCCTCGGATGTTCTCATTTCCCGAGTTGTGCTTCCCTTACTCTAAGGCTAATAAATGTGGTTCTGGATCTGGGTCATTATTTAAAGGGGTCATATGATGCGATTTCAAGTTTTCCTTTCTCTTTGGAGTGTTACAAGCTCTTGGTGCATAAAGAAGATCTGTAAAGTTGCAAAGACTAAAGTCTCAAATCCAAAGAGATATTCTTTATAAAAGTTAAGAGTCAGCCAC